TCCAAGTGTCCCTTGCAGGGAGGTGTCACTCATTACCATCCTTGTTAGCAGTGTGGACAGAGGGCAGTGATGGACCTGCAGACTAAATCACGTTCCTCCCTGCCAGCCTGCTTGGCTTTTGTGGTTAAATATAGGGTCCTGCCCTTCAGGGACACTGAAGTGCTTGAAAGCACTGATGAACTCGACTTTCAGCTTAATGTGGCCACAATGGAATGGTTATGACTCCCTGTCTAATCTTACTAACTGGTCTGGGTTGCCGCAGTAATTTGGTCTGTCTGCATCCTGCCTCTCTTCAGCTCATGGCACCGAGGCCTCTGCACTGCTCCAGTGGCAAGAGAGGTTCCCCAGAGCACAGAAATGACCAGGATATCATCACTCTGATCATAATTCCCCCATTATATAATAAGGATGGAGCTTTGCCTGCTGAAATGAGAGTTCCTGATTGTATCACCAAGTTTCCCACATTACAGCATTCTTTATTCAGCTGTTGTTGCTGTCTCCTGGTAGTGAATCTGCTCTGAGCAAACAGTTGTCTGGAGTGAGATGTAATTTCAGGCCCTGCTGCTTTCCAACACAGGTGTCAGCACGTGTCTTTTGGTCTGGTTCAAGGCATGAAGACTCGGAGAGGAGAAGTCATTTTCCTGGAAGATGTTTTGAATGAAGCTCGCTCAAGGATGTTACAAAACATGTCTTCCACAAAAAGTTAGTGATTTCAGGTCTTACTGGCTCCTTTTGCTGTTCTGTGGTGATTCAAAACGGGTTGTCTTTTCCACCCCTGACATTTCCCTGCAGCACACACCAGCCTCCCTGGGCAACCTGGGCCAGTGTTTCACCACCCTTAAAGTAAAGTACTTTTTTCTAATATCTAACCTAAACTTCCCCTCCTTCAGTTTGTGCCCATTGCCCCTTGTGCTGTCCCTGCAGCTCCTAACACAGATCCCTCTGCAGCTTCCCTGGAGCCCCTTCAGCTCCTGCAAGGTGCTCTGAGCTCTCCACACAACCTTCTC